AGGTTCAGAGAGCCACTTGCAGCCCTGGAGCCAGACAGGCCTGGGTTGGATTACCAGTTGGAAGCTGGGTGCCCTTTCAAAGCCTCTGGTCTGTAAAATGGGTATTACGGTAGTAACCATGTCTGGGATTGTCACAAGAATTGACTGAGAAAGTATATGGAAAGCGGTTAACATACTGCTTTACACGTTAGCAATAATCACAAGATTGCTTTTATGGGACTCGTTAAGGTCACGTAATTAATGAGTAATGGGGTTGGCATCCAGGCCCCAGTCTGACTCCCTGGCCTTCCACTCCAGCCAGCTGACTGCCAGTAGAGCTAGGTCTGGTTTCCCAGGCTCAGCTAGGAACCGGCAGCTGGGCCCTCCCATCCAGGTTTGGAGGAGGGCTGGTCTTTAGGGAGGTCCCACTGGTTCCTCATATCCGTTTGTTTGCAGATACAATGAAGTCAAGAAGAAGATGGATCCTGGCTTCCCCAAGCTCATCGCCGATGCCTGGAACGCCATCCCGGATAACCTGGATGCCGTAGTGGACCTGCAGGGCGGTGGTGAGCTGCCCAGGCCCCTGTCCGCTTTCTAGGACATGCCTCCCTGCCCCCATCCAGGGCCCAGCTCCTCCGAAGCACACACTCCCTCATTGTGCAGGGAGGCAGGCCGCGCTCGGGGGGGAAAACAAACGAGCCCCTTCAACCCGGTGCTGGGAAGGCATCCAGACCCCTGACCTCCGCTCACTCAGCCGGCTCCAGGCAGTAAGACCCAGAAAGGCCCCTCACAGCTGCAGGGCCTGGAGCCAGGGAAGGGGAGGGCAGGAGGCCTGCTGGAACAAGAAACATGGGCTGTGTGCCCTGGATTCATTCTGGGGTTTGGTCCAGGCCTTTTCAGGTTCCACAGGAGGCCTTGTGACTGCCTCCCATTAGCAGAAGGATGGCTCCATATGAGACAGGACAGACTTTGTCATGCCCTGTTGCTGATGTGGCAAAGATCTCCCACTCACTTCCATTCGCCCCTGATCCCTCGCTGAATAAAATACAACCAGTATCGGCAAGGGATAGCATTTGGAGTTTGCAAAACATGTTCCTGAGGTTTCTGTGAGGTCTGCAGGGACCTCCTGGAAAGGAGTCCAGTTTGGCTTTTTTTAGAGGAGGTTGCAATTAAGTTCCAGAAAGATTTCTTTTGAGCCCCTATCCTGTGTGAATCACATGGCCCTAACCTCCCGTGATGAAAGGTCTCACATGTCCAAGAAAGAGCTGTGTATAATCTAGGGGGGCTAGGTTAAGGATTATCTTCAAGAATAAGCATCTAGGGAGCACCTACTATGTGCTGGGATTTTCAAGGAAGTAAATGAGGTCATGTATGTCAGGAGTCACACAGTTTAAGGCCCGTAGTTGCCAGGCCAATAGCGCAGGTGAGTGAGGCAGGCAAGGCAGACAGGAGGGAGGGGTGAGGTCTGTGGTGAACCAGAATGCACATGGCTTATTTATAATCATCTGCTTCTCACGGTTGCTGTAAGAATGGGGGCCTCAAGCCATTAGCTATTCGGCTGTTTTAAAAGGAAGGGAGAAATGTATATTTTCGTGTGAAATTTCCAGGTGTTTATATGTTGGCAACTTACTCAGCATTCAGAACAAAACACTTGTGTGAGCCAAATCAAAGCCATCTGTAGGTCTGACAGGGCCAGAACCCTCCTGTTTTGCCACCTCTGGTCTGTGGGAAGTGCTTCGTTTGTGCCCGTGCTCAGTGGAGTGCTGTTATTTATATTAATAATAGCTCATGTTATCTGATTTAATCCTCGCCACAAGCTCTAAGAGGTCGGTATCTTTATCCCCACCTCCAAGATGAAGAAACAGGGCCTCGGAGAGCTTACCTCCCTAGCCATTCTCCTTCCTCTGGTCTCCAAGGGGTCTTCTCTGGTTGAAAAGCTTGTTCCATATGGCAGGTGACTCTCAAAGCTCCCAGAACCTTCTGTGTCTGTGGATGGGGTGATGACAGGCTCCCCTCTTTCTCATGCCAGGTCACAGCTACTTCTTCAAGGGTGCGTATTACCTGAAGTTGGAGAACCAAAGTCTGAAGAGTGTGAAATTCGGAAGCATCAAATCCGACTGGCTGGGCTGCTGAGCAGGCTCTGGCTCCCCCAGGCCCTGCCCCTCCATCGTCTTCTGCCTACGGAGCCCTGAGTGCCAGGGAAGGACCCGGATGAGCCTGGCAGCCTTCAGCTCTGTAGTTAATCGGCGTGCTCACCCCTCCCTGGTAATTTAAGGTTCTGGAGAGTGTCTCTGCCCTGTGCCCAAGGAACGGTGCTGATTGTACCCCTCCCAGCTGCCCTCAGCTCCCACTCCACTCCCCCACCAGCCCTCCAGAGCCACCCCCAAAGAGATGCTTTGATATTCTCAATGCAGCCCCGCCTTGGGCTGCCCTGGTGCTCCCACACTTCAGGCTCTCCCCCGCCACGACTTTCTGTGGCTTACAGCACCCTCAGAGCCAACAGACAGAGACTGTCTCAAGAGGGCACTGGTGGCCCGACAGCCCGGCCTGGCATGGGGCAGTGGGATAGGGGCATGGTCCCCTGGCCACCCCACACACCGGGCTTCTCACTGCTTCCTGCCTTAGGACGTCTCCTACCTTAGCAGTTTGCTTTGTGTGCACTTTGTTCTTTGCTTTCTGTTTTTATTTTTCCACTTCGACATCGAATTTCTTGACGGAAGGACTCAGGTTATCTGAAGTCACTCCACCGTGCATCTCAGCCCACATCGGGATGGTTCTTCTTGTTCACTCTATTTAGTACGCCCCCACCCCATCACTTCCTCCACTGGCTGGAGGAGAACCAAGCCATGGCTCCCCGCTCAGCCCCGCCCCCCTGCCCTTCAACAGTTCCCCATGGGAAATGTCAACCAGTATGAATAAAGACACCAAATGAGTGGCAGTGCTTATAGGCTGGTTTTTGCGGAGCCTAGACAGGCGGAGGAAAACAACTTAAAAAGTTTAAATCTCTGCTCCCTCCGGGGGCTCAGGTGACATTTGCCATAAAGGTCAGAGCTGCCAAAATAAATAGCAAGAGACCCTCCAGGTGGGGTAGCTGAAGTCCCTCTGTCCCGTGGAAAGAGCCTTGAAATAGGAGCGGTTCTGTCACTTTGCGGGCAGGGTCTCATTCAAGGCTCCCTTCCTTTTTGAGTCTCTGTTTCTTCACTGACAACAATGCCAATTCTTTTCTTTTTTTTTAAAGATTTTATTTATTTATTTGACAGAGAGAGCGAGAGCAGGAACACAAGCAGGGGGAGAGGCAGAGGGAGAAGGAGAAGCAGGCTGCCTGCCGAACCGGGAGCCCGATGTGGGACTCTATCCCAGGACCCTGGGATCATGACCTGAGCCTAAGGCAGACGCTTAACGACTGAGCCACCCAGGTGCCCCAACAACGCCGATTCTAACACTACTACTAAACAGTGTACAGTAACACACCCCCTCCTTTAATAGAATGCGTACTAGGTACTAGGCACTTGACAACCATCGTTTGGTTTAACCTTTACAACAACCTAAAGAGGGGAAAGCTTTGATCCCCTTCTATATAGAAATCCCAGAGCTGCTGGATAACAAATTTAAGGCCTGGGATTATTTCAGGGGTCCCTTCTGGTTCTGATAAGACATTTCTTCAGGCCTTTCATGGTGGGGCTGGTGGGGAAGGGGACGAGGAGTAGACCAGACTCTCTGGAGATGACCTTAGTGGGCCGGGAGTCATCTTTTCTCCACCCTGTGGCCTGCCCAATGGCTCAGGTCCTTGAGAGTCCTAAAGAAATAGCCTTTGGTGCAAGTTTCTGGCTAAAGAGCCACACGGGACTGCCAGTCCCTACTTGAAGACCCCCGAGGCTTATATCATGCCTGTGATACGCTATTATTAACCCGCTCTATTACACTGAGAACATTCAGCCGCTCCAAGACATAATACCTGAAAGGCGCCATTTCTTGACTGCTTTTTTTATGAACACTGCACATTTTTTTTAAATTGTTACCACAACCCTATGGGGTAGAAATTAATCTTTCCCCATTCTTGGATGAGACTACAAGCTCAGAGAGGTTAAGTGAGGAGCTGCAAGCCACATATCTGTCTGGTGGGGTTGGAAGATTTTGAGATTCTGCAGTAGCTGAGTATGAGGCAGCCACTGTGCTAGGGCCCAGATTAATTCTCACCGTGCCCTCCAGCTGGATGTGAGCAGTTGACCCGTAATTTTAAGTCATTCCCCATCTCCAGCCTCTTCTCAGCACTCAGGGCTTTACCGAATGACCTCAGGGCCTATCCTCCCCAGTCCTCCCACCACCCATACAGGTCCAGATAGGCCCCTGAACTTCCTCAGGGTGAAATGGAGCCAACAGCCCCAATCGTTTCCTTTTTCGGGGCCAGGTTCCTCATCACATATGGAAGGCAGTAGCTGTTTCTGCCTTTTTTCTAGTAACAGCATTGGGAAAGCTCAGTTTTCCTTTGGACAGCCATCTCCCAGGGTCAGTCCATGTTTTGAGGGGAAGATTTCACCCCAGGTACCAATCTCTCCCTTGTCAGCAGTCTTTCAGCTATTAACTGACAAACATCCACCCCATACAGGTTTAAGCAAAACCAAAACATATACCAGATATCAAACGCATAAAACAAAACCCACCCTGGATATATTAACTCACTTCAGTGGAACAGCCTGGCAGTGGCTGGACTGGGGTTCTGCTTATCTGAGTTCTATATATCCCCATTTTACAGAAGGGGCCAGCTGAGGCTCAGGGAGACACCGACTTAGCCAAGGTCAGCCACAAAGCCCGTAAAAGAGGTTGGTACTCCAGGTGGGCGTGACCCGCAAGCAGAGAACTCTGTCTAAACTGTCATTGGGGTGCCCTGCTCTGAAGGAGAAAGTCACCTCCAGGGGGCGGACCAAAGAGGAAGAGCCGATACCTAAAGGGGTGTGGCTAAGGCTCAGCGGGTGGAGCCAGAGCGGGGAGGTGGGGGGGCGTTCGGAGCCAGACGGGCGGGGCGAGACCGGACGGTGTCTAGGTGACTCGCGCCTGCGCAAAGGTCCCGCAGCCGCGCCGCCGGCCGGGACTCTGGTGAAGCCTCCCCCAGGTCGCGGCGGGCGCTCGCTCCCGCGTTCCTCATCCGTCTCTGGATCCGGTCCGACGCCCGGCTGGGCCATGAGCCAGTGTGCGGAGGCGGCGGCGGTGGCGGCCACCGTGCCGGGCGCGGGCATGGGGAAAGCCGGGCTGCGGCCACCCATAGTGCCCCGCCAGGCGTCCTTCTTCCCGCCGCCTGTGCCCAACCCCTTCGTGCAGCAGACGCGGATGGGCGCCGCGAGGCGTCTCCAGGTGAGGGCGCGGGCCCGAGAGAGGAGACGGAACCAGGGGAGGGGCGTGGGTCTGACGGTGGAGGCGGATGCAGGTGAGGGGTGTGGGACCCAGAGAGGAGGCAGATCCAGGGGAGGGACGTGGATCTGACAGGGGAGGCGGAGCCAGGTGAGAGGGGTGAGAGATGTGGGTCCGAGAGAGGAGGCGGATCCAGGAGAGGGACCTGGATCTGCCGGGGGCTGTTGTCTGAGGGGAGTGTGGGTATGATGGGGAGGTATCCGAGGTGGGGGGCGCCAGTCTGAGAAGCAAAGGCACTGAGGAAGAAAGAGATGTCGATCTGCGAGGTGAGGGCTTTTGAAGGTTCCATGAGTCTGGAAGGGGCAGAGATGTGGGTATGAGAATTGAGGGCACTTGGAGGATGGTCTGAGGGTGTGTGAGAAGAGAAAATGCGAAGAACATGCGGATCTGAGAGGCAGGTCCTCAACAAGACAAAGCTGAGCAGGCCAGTAGCAGAGGAAACCTTCCATGCTGAGAAGGGAGCTGGCTGTGTGACAAGAGCTTCAAGTTGAGTTTGTTAGAGTGGAGGGGTGGCCAGTCTATAGGAGAGTGGACTTGGGGAAGTCCTTTTTTTTTTCCCTCTATTTCTTTTCCTTTTGCCTTAGGGAAGGAGAGGAGTCAGTCTAGGAGGTGAAGAGTGAGGGAGAAGGCAGAGAACCCAGGTCTGGAATTAGAACAAGAGGCTGGGATGATCTAGCTGAGAAGGGGCATCAAGGGTCGGAAATCAGAATCTAAGAAAATGGGTAACGTGGGTCAGCTTAAGGTATTCAGAAGTCTTCACCCCGAATCGGTCCTGAATCAGTCTTCACTCAAACCCTTTGAGATTCAACACTTCTCCAAACTTTCTTCCACTGTTAAAAACTGCTGAATACAAAAAGGAAGTTTCCTTTTCTTTCCTTTTTCTTGTAAAATGCTCTTTTACCATTAGCAGTTACAGCTTGCTCTGAGGACTTCCCCTTTGGTGAAGTTAGCGATCAAAGAACAAGATAGAGTGTGCACGCTACATTTGTCCTGTGTGTTCTGCATGAAAAAAAGAAGGGTTTGATGTTTTCCTGTCCATCTCACACATTTCTTTACTTCAGATTGGAAATAGTGTTATTTTTGCATAGCGCACTTAGGTGCACTGAGACCGTTGTCCTCCACAGTGGAGGCAGGTTAGAGTAATGGTAAATGGGCAAATGGGTTGAAGAAGGGTGTGAGAGAGGAAGAGGAAGATAATGTAGTAATACCTCTTTGTAAAGAAACTAAATATTTAAAAATTTGATCTTCATGTCTTTAAATGGATAGATGCTCCCTTTGTATCTTAAAACTTCTAAACACTTCTAAATACATTGACTATCACTCAAGATTAATTTTAGTCTGATTTGGTGAAATCAGTCATTCTTAAATGTAAGTATGTCTATTTGGCTTCATATTTTGGAGAGAGGACCAAAGTGGCATATTTATAGAGAGACTAATTGTTGGTGTTGGTTTTCTTTTTTTTTTTTTATAGCATGGCCTATTACTACTTGGAGAGCACTTTCAAATGGCTCTCCAAGAGCTGTAGTATAATGGAAAGATCACTAGTCTAGTCAGAAAACCTGCTCGGGCCGTGCCCTTTATCAGTTAGTTGTATGACTTTGGCCAAGTCACTTAACCTCTCTGAATTTCACTTTTCTCATTTATTAAATGGGAATAGTCTTACATCAAAGAAGGGTTAAAATTAAGAGAGATAATGTGTGAAAGAAACTGGATTGTTTGGTGATCTTAATATTGATAGTTATCCTATTTGTTGCCTACAAATCTTATACCGTACTTAAAATTTACTATTTGTATTGAATGGAATTCAATAGGTCTAGGTTTTTTCTTTTTTTTTTTAACTAAAAATGTAGACCAAAGAGGTCTTAATGTCTTGAACAGTCTGAGCAAAGGGAAGATTTAACAGACATGATTGAAAAACAGTATTGTCTGTATTATCAAGTTTAAAAGATGGATATACCTTCACTTAAGTATGACTTACTATGACCAATTCAGACTAAATTTAACCTTGAAAGTGATCAATATCTTGCTTAAGGACTGTTGTCACTTTTGTATCTCATTGTAGGACTTAGCTTTGCCCTTCCCCTTCTCTTTTTGACAATTTAAGGTCCTGCTACATAGTGGCATGGAAACAAGTAGCCTAGCTTTCATTTCCTCAAGAGAATATGGAACTGAAATAAGTGTTTGGTAGTAATTGTGGGTCATTTATCATACCAAAAGTATTTGTTGAATGTCTGTTATGTACCAGGCACAAGGCTAATTTCTGGAGATACAGCAGTGAACAAGAGAAATAAGAACTCTGACTATCTAAAACTTATGTTTCACTGAAAAAAAGTTAAAGAGACAAGTACAAAATTATGCATTTCCGTGTTTTAGTAGTACTGTGAAGAAGACTCAAAGTTGGTTTATTTAGTGTTAAATACTATTATTTGTTGCAGACCTAGAAATGGCACTGAAAAAAAGTTGCCCAATATTTGACAACTTAATTAAAATCCATATTAGCTACTCATTGTGAATGTGAGTTAGCTTATATGAATATACTATAACCTCATTCTAACTCTATCTTCGGGGTCTATGCTATGGTCCTTTCTTGCAGTAAAGATTATTTCTAGGTCATTTGCAAGGCTGTTTGCAAGGCTTATTTGACCTACCTTGGAGGTTACTCACTGCAAACAGTCTTTTCTCCAGGGGTGTTTGTCAAAACAATCAGAGGCAATTGCTTAACATGACAGTTACCTGAGGTGGTGAATACTGATTGGAGCAAACAATAGGCTTAACCAAACGGTTTGCAAAAAGAAGTTAGGGAATGAGATGCCCATAGGGGACTTCGAAAAGCTTTGACATATTCATAGGAATCTAGAAGGGTATCCACATGTATAGGCCTGTGTGTATACCCTGGGCTATGCATGTGACCTGAAAAACAACAACAACAACAACAACAAGTGAGAATACCCTAAGCTCTCACCTCTAGCTAACCATCAGGCTCTGTACAAACTGGAGGTAAAAGCTAAGGTAGGGTTGTGAACTTCCACTTGGCTGTGTGTTGAAGGTGTGTTCCAACATGCACACAAAGACTCTTTGCAAACACTGGGGAACTTATTGATTCCAGGCACTTAAGGAAATCTTATCTAATCATTAGCTGACTACCAAACTAATTGGTCAGAGACTTCAGTAACCACACATGACACATGACAAAGAATACAGCCTTTATAGAATTGGTTCATAATAGTCACTGAACAAACAAATAACAACAACAAACAGCAACAACAATACACCCTGGTGATGGAAGAGAATCTGATTTTCAGAGTTGTTATATTATTTAAAATGTTTGCTTTTCAACAGAAAGAAATGCAAAATGATAATAACAAAGTATGTCCCATAAATAGGAAAAATAGCAGTCAATACAAATTATCTCCAAGGAAGCCCAGATGTTGGACATACTATCCAAAAACTTTAAATCAGGTATTTTAAATATGTTCACATAACTAAAGGAAACCATGTCAAAAGAACTAAAGGAAAATATGAGACAGTGAATCACCAAATAGAGATTATCAGTAGAGATAGAAATTATTAAAAAGAACCAAAAAGAAGTACAATAGCTGAAATGAAAAATTCACTAGAGGGACTCAACAGCAGACTTGAGCAAACAGAAGAATCAGCAAATTTAAAGAAGATCAATTGAGATTAATTAATCTGAGGAACAGAAAGAAAAAAGGATGAAGAGAAGTGAACAGAACCTCAGAGACCTGTAGAACATTATCAGTTGTATCAACATAAACATAAATGGGAGCCACAGAAGGAGGCAAAGAATGTTTGAAGAAAAAATGGCTGAAAACTTGCCAAATTTGGTGAAAAACATTAATTTATGTATTCAGAAAGTTTAATGACTTCTAAGTATAATAAACTCAAAGTTATCCATACCTATATACATCATAATCCAACTGTTAGAAGGCAAAGAAAAAGAGAGAATCTCGAAAGCAGAGAGAAGTAACTCATCATACACAAAGGGATCCTGAATAAGATTAATGTCTGATTGTTCATCAGGAACTATGGAGGCTAGAAGGCAATAGGATGATATACTCAAAGTGCTGAAAGTAGACTTGTCAACCAGGATTAACATAGAAAAACTGTCCTTCAAAAATAGAGGAGAGGGGTGCCTGGGTGGCTCAGTCAGTTAAGCATCTGCCTTCGGCTCAGGTCATGATCCCAGGGCCCTGGGATTGAGCCCCGCATCGGGCTCCCTGCTCAGCAGGGAGCCTGATTCTCCCTCTCCCTCTGCTGCTCCCCCTGCTTGTGCTCTCTCACTCTCTCTCTCTCAAATAAATAAATAAGATCTTTAGAAAAAGAGAGAGAGAAGAGAAATTAACAGAAACTGAGAGAATTTGTCACAAGTATACATGCCCTGAAAGAGATACTACAGGGAGACCTTTGGTTGAAATGACACTAGAGAGTAACTCCAATCCACATGAAGAAATAAAAATACTGGTAAAGATAACTACATGTATAAATATAAAAGACAATATAAATATAATTTTTATTTGTAAATCTTTTTGTCTTCTATGTGATTTAAAAGACAACTACATAGGGGCACCTAGGTGTCTCAGTCAGGTAAGCGTCCAACTCTTGATTTCAACTCAGGTCATGATCTCAGGGTCCTGGGATCAAGTTCTGTGTTAGGCTCTACACTCAGTGGGGAGTCTGCGACTCTCCTTCTCCCTCTGACCCTCCCCCCACTCGTGTTTGCACACGTACTCTCTCTCTAAAATAAATAAATCTTAAAAAAAAAAGAGACAACTACAGGGGTGCCTGGGTGGCTCAGATGGCTAAGCGTCCGCCTTCAGCTCAGGTCATGATCCCAGGGTCCCGGGATCGAGCCCCACATCGGGCTCCTGGCTCAGCGGGGAGCCTGCTTCTCCCTCTCCCTCTGCCTCTCTCCCTGCTCATGC